AAGCATCCTATGCTAGTGAAGAAAGCAATATTGAAGTGATAGCACTCATCCTGGTGGAGATTATGGGAAGATCTAGGCCTCTTCTAGTTGCTCACCAACCCCACGAAACCCTGAATTCAACCTCACCCAAATCAACTCAAATCCACAATGCCTTTAGACAGTATGCATATCAGCACAAAGGGTGTGCAAAAGTTCAATCATTCACTTCAATCTCCAACTTTGATACAATGCATGATGATGTTTGCCGAATTGCACTTGATAGAAGTGCTAACATTTTGATCATGCCATTTCACAAGCATTGGAAAATAGATGGTAGTGTTGTTGTAATTAGTAGAGCCATACAAGACATGAACATTAAGATACTTGAACGAGCACCATGTTCAGTTGGTATCCTTGTTGATAGAGGTATGATTAGTAGTTCATTATCATCACTCTTATCTTCCAAACCAGTGTATCATGTAGCTGTGTTCTTCATTGGAGGTGCAGATGATGCAGGCATAAATATGTAGAGGTAACAATAATAAGGTATCTACAATTTGGATCAGAAAACTCTATAGATAGAAAATGTGACAGTGATCTTATAGATGTGTTAATATTGGAAACAGTAGGTTTAAGATGATTGAGGAAGTGATAAGAGATGGGGAAGAAATGCTAACAAGTATTAGAAAAATGAAAAATAAATTTGAGCTTGTAATAGTGGGAAGGGAACATCCACAATCTGTTTTGGTTGATGGATTTCAAGAATGGAGTGAGTGCAAAGAAGACATGCTAGCTTCACAAGATTTTGAGACAAAGGCATCAATTTTGGTGGTGCAACAACAAAGAATGATTAAGAAGTTTGCAAAACACAATAAGGGGAGATCAAAGGGTACATGATTTTCCATTTGATGAGATACCAAGATCAGAATCATGGTCTGTCTAAATGTACAAACTTCATCATAAGCTGTTCGATCCCTTTACTATTTCCACTTTTTTAGTGTAGTTCATATATATATATATAATCTCATTTTTATATTATTATTATTATTCTATATTTACCTTAGTATTAACAAAGGGGATGAGTAGTTAATCACTTAATTGTGATATTTTACCCAATACTAATAACTTAAATTGCAAACATACGTTCAACAACTAATAAATAAGTGATTAAAAATTTGTACACATCTTAAATTTCCAACTACCTATAAATCCTCTTAACTTTTTTAGATTTTTATGTTGATCTTTTTTAGAAATCACCAACATTTAAATACTTTTATGAATTTTATATTTTATGCAATTTCTTATACAATAAATTCCATTTTGTAAATTTAAGTGATACCAATAACAAAAAAAAATTGTAAATTGACACATGTGGACAAGCTAGATTCATTTTCGTGGGAAAACATTTAAAGGATAAATGATAATTGTATCAATGTAATTTTAAAATTTCAAATTTTACTATTACTATATCTTATATTTATTCATTGAACGATAAAATAGATGTAGTTAATAATTAATGATTTAATATGTGAAGGAAAAAATGCTATATAAAATAATTTTTGTTTTGCAAAATGAAGTGTTATGTTTTCTCATCTAGCCAAATTTTAAATAGGAATATATTTATAGACGTGACAATCAATAATAAAAAAATTAGAATATGGCTTCAACCTTGATAGTCGTGTTAAAATGCAGTTGGATCTAACCAATTGACCTATTTGAATAGAATTCTAAGTGGTCAAGTTCATTGGTTACTTTTGTATATAAAAAATGGACAAAACTTAGTTACAATTCTTTAGGTATAAATAAAGTTTATAGCATATTAAAAAAGAAGATACATGTTTATTGTCACTTATATTTTGAATAGAAATATTCTTAATTGCAAAAAGAGAGACTTAATAATATAGATAAACACGTGTCAACTTTTAATAGGCTATAATCACATTACCATTTTGTAACTAATGAATTTTACCTAAGTTTTAGAAAATTGTTACCGGAATATAATTGTTGAGAAAGTAAAGTTCAATGGTCTCATTGGTGATAGACACTTCACACTTACTTACTTACATCGATGGGAAATCTGAAAATTGGCATAGTTGGGTTTGGTAGCTTTGGGCAATTTCTAGCGAAGACTATGATTAAACAAGGCCACACTCTACGCGCTACTTCTCGTTCTGATTACTCCCAACTCTCTCTCCAATTAGGCATTCAATTTTTCAGAGATGTTAGTTCACTCCTTGAAGCTGACAACGATGTCATACTCATATGCACTTCAATACTATCCTTTTCCCAAGTTATGGAATCTATGCCAGTCACTCGTTTTAACAAATCAACAACGCTCTTTGTCGATGTCCTTTCTGTCAAAGAACATCCACGACACCTTCTACTAACAGTAACTTTCAATTTCTTTATTTTCTTACTCTTATTATTGGACAATTGAGATTAATTTATGTTTATGTTGATGATAGTTATTGCCAGAGGAGTTAGACATACTCTGCACGCACCCTATGTTTGGTCCAGATAGTGGGAAGGATGGGTGGAAAAATCTAACTTTCATGTTTGATAAAGTTCGAATCAGAGATGTAGCTATTTGCTCTACTTTCCTTCACATTTTTGAAACTGAGGTAGTTTCATAACCTTCTC